TATCTCCCTCAGGATTCCTTTCACCACAGATAAGGATGCCAGAGTTGTCCCACAGTGTGAAGTGGTTGTTACCTAAATGGATCTAAAAAAAAAGGCTTAGGAGAGAGGGAGCTGCCAAGTATGCATTCAAGTGCTCACATAGAAAGCAGAGCACGAGGAATGGGCTTAAATTAAGGAAGATTTAGAATGGATTTCTGGAAACCTTGAACGACTTCTAGCATTTTTTTTTTGATCTGGGGGATGTTACTAAAAGTTCTTTTTGTCAATTTCACACATATGTACAATACATTATGTTTATATCCAGCCCCCTTCCTCTTTACCCTTCTCCTTCATCTTAACTAGTTTTTCTCCACTGTCATGTCCTGTTCTCTGTCTGTCTGTCTGTCTGTCTGTCTGTCTGTCTGTCTGTCTGTCTGCCTGCCTGCCTGTCTGTCTCTGTCTGTCTGCCTGCCTGCCTGTCTGCCTCTTCTCTGCCTCCCCCTCTTCCATCTCTACATGGAGTTTGATTACAGTTCCTTCTGTGTCTTGGGTAAGGAATAACTCATTGGTATTCAGGCAAGTACCAGTGGTTGCAGCACTTAAGAAAATGGAGTCCCTTTCCTTAGCACCTCTTTCCCTGTCAAAAGCTCCTCAGTGAGGAGTTCTGACTCATGGGTGCCTCCTGTATCCATGATGGAGCACCGGTATTTCATTGAGAGAAGATGGATATTTACTGAAGAGGTCCCATCCTGTCGCTGGTAAAATATCTTTCGAATAGGCCGTGTTTAGCACCGAGCCTGAATTTCTGGCTTCCAGAGCTGTGAGAGAACAGGTTTCAGTTATTTTTAACCATTAATTTTGTGGTAATTTTCTATAGCAGCTAGAGAAAACTAACATAGACTTTCCCTAAACCATTTTAAGAATTATCAGATAAGGCATTTATGTAAAATACAAAGTCCAAGTTGCTCAGGAGAGTTTCTCTTCTCGGAAGGGTTCCCTGATCTTTCCTCTTACACGGGCCTCTGGCATGGGCATTACACTAATCAAGATTAGGATCCTGTACTGTCTGTTCCAGCCTACCGTTTCTTTGAGAATGCAGTTGTTACTGTCTGCAGCGATCTTAGAGGCATGCCTATAACTTTTGCTTTGGATCACGTGCAGAAACCCTGCTTGCTGTCCTTTCCTCTAGAGACAGGTGACCTGAGATTACCGTCTGACTTCTCCATCCTCATTTGCATCTTAAACATATATCCATTTTGACACGTATGATATTATGTTTTTTTCATCTCCATTCATTCAACGGTGAAACTAAATTTAGGGTTTTGTAAGAAATATACTTGTATATTTCAAAACTGCAGAAGGTGCCAAAAGGTGTTTGTTGTGGTTTGCTATGTAGTTTTCCCTTTAAGTTTGTGTTTGAACGCTTGGCCTCCAGATGGTGGCGCTGTTTGGGGGAGGAGGTTGCGAACTCTTCAGGTGTGTCACTAGGGGGTAGAGCTTGAGATTTGGCATTCTGGGTGCACTTTCTGTTTGCAGATGCAATGTGACCAGCCAGCTTCCCTCTCTTGCTGCCATGCCACCCTGAAACGTACCCCCTCAGACTATAAGCAAAATAAAGAATAAAATAAACCTTCCTCCTCTAAATTACTTCTTGTCACAGTAATGGAAACAGCTCCCATTCCAAATCCATTCCTTACTGGTATCCATTTATAGGAGTAAAAAAAAATGGTTCCATTGTTCCTTTTTAGAAATCTATACATTTTCTTATACAAAGACAGGACAGGTAGACTGTATTTATTGCTACCTATTTACCATCTATCATTTGACTGCAGTCATGATATTCTGAGTCAAGCTATGATTGACCTCGTTACCAGTCAGAACTCAAAGATAATAGATGCATGCTGTTCAAAACTGTTAACCTCATGGCAATTGTTCAGGAAGAGGAAATTATAACAGCAACCAACCATATTGGTAAAAATACAAATATACAATGGCATGTAACATCTTTCCTTGTGAGATAACCATTCACAGATATGAAATATATTTTGTTATCTTTCTTTCAAATTTCTAGATTTTCTTCAGTGAGTGTGACCCTTTTCTTCCCACTTTTCCTTATGCTGTTTTTAATGAAGCGTTTAATAGTCTTGTATGACTTAATCCAACAATCTCTTTCTTTTAGCAGCTTCCTGTTTCTGACTCTTGCTATTGATAGTTCTTCTAAGTTGATAAAGGAATTCAGCTACTATATGATTTCCTTTACATCTAAATCCTAAATCCATTTAGAGATTCCCTTTGATATGATGTATGAATCCAAAAATCTTTTTTTTTCACATTACTAGTCAGTTATCCCTACTTTATATAATAAAATTTACATTTAAATCATATATCCTCAGGTGCTTCCTTTACCACTTAACAAATTACTATGTAAATTAGGATACATTCATCTTCTTTTAGATATATATATATATATACATGTATATATATTATCTAGAGACTATTGTTTTGAGTCTCAAAAGTTTCTAATATATACATACTGGTTTATAGGATCAATTTCAGACATTTCCCAGTTATTATGTTTAGTAAGTTATTATTAGTTAATTTTTTTTTGGTTTTATGAGACAGGGTTTCTCTGTTTTGGAGGCTGTCGGTCCAGCCTGGCCTCGAACTCACAGAGATCTGCCTGCCTCTGCCTCCCGGGTGCTGGGATTAAAGGCGTGCGCCACCAACGCCCGGCTATTATTAGTTAATTTTAAAATTAGCTTATACATTTTAGGACAATATGCTCTTATTGGGATTGTTTATGAATGAATTTTATGAAGTTGCTTAAGGAAAACTGGTGTCTTCACTGTACTTTTTGTAACTGGCAAACACAGTATGCCTTTTCATCAACTCAGTGACTCTGTGTTGTTCAGAAACATGTAGACTGTTTTCCTCATATGTTTTGAACACTCCTTGTTAGGTTTATTTCCAGATATCTTATCCCTTTTGGAATTATTGTTATTGCCATTATAAATAAGTCTTTTCCATTATACTTCCATAGCAGTATTATTTATACACATAGTAGTACTCTTTTCTGTACATTTTATGTACGTGTGTGTTACCATCTAGAATATCATGGATGTCTACCATAAGGTTTCTGAGCCAGCAGTGAGGTCGCAGTCACAGGGCTTGCCCTAGAGATATAATGGCTTAGTACAGAGCCAAAAATAAATGTGAAAACACAATGTGTAACTGCTCTTTGTAATAAAGGGTCTGAATAAAATGAAGCATATTTAGTAACATAGCATCATAATCTATGTGGATCTATCTACCCAAATTATGGAAATCTTAAAGCTTGAAAATGTCATGTCTTATTTCTGTAAAGTTCTGTAGAGTCAAGCAAATGCCCAGAAAACAAATATTTGTTGAACTCTCTGCACTTAATTTTCTGTGAGCTTTGGACTAACAGTGTCTTGAGTCCATTGGTCACCACAGTTACGTAGCCTGTAGTTGTTGTCCTCTTCTTCCTCCCCCTCTTCGTCTCCCTCCTCTTTCCTCTCCTCCTTTTTCTTCTTCTGATGTTTTGTCTCCATGCATCTAAGTGCACTGTGTGCACACAGTGCCTGAAGAGGTCAGAAGAGGGCATTGAATCCCATCAAGCTTGAATTATAGAAAGCCGTAAACTGCCACATAGGCGCTGGCACTCAAACCTGGGTCCTCTGAAAGAGATGCAAGTGTTTTTAACCACTGAGCCTTCCTGAAGCAGCCCATATTTTTCTTTTTCTTTCTTTTTTTTCATTTTAATCATTTTATTTCAAGTATATTTTAAAAATCATAAATGGGGTTTGTAATCCAAAGCTGAAACATGTATTCTTCAGAGTCTGACAGGTAATTCCAGACCATACTTTCCAAACCCAGGTTCTTTGCTATTTTTCAGATTTCTGAGGCCTTGTATTTAAACTGCTCTATTCTAAATGTACACGACTCTTGTATACTTGCTGATAAAGTTTTCTGAAAACTGTCCATCAAATATAAAGAATGGTTTCTATCCAAAGATTATCAGTGGAAAAACATGAAACATTATCAAGAATACAATTCTGTCAGAAGCAGTGCTGTTCTCTAGAACACAAGAGAACACAGAAGATCAAGTTAAACTATGCTCACAGGTTTTGGTAATACAGGCCTCCACCTACTTAATCATTATGCAAAGTCATCACTGAGATTTACTGGAGCACTCGAGAGAGCAACAGGTTACTTTTGAGGTAAAAAGCTGCCTTGGTTAACTTCTCTCAAATGTTTTAAATAAAAAGTTAATGGAAACATTTTTTTAATGGTTTGGACACTATATAGCATACTACTCATCACACAAGGAAATCAAAACTGTCCTCTTAGGAAATTTTCCATCTTTAAGATTATCATTTATTCACTTTTTTGGTTTTCAACCGCCTAACTCAATATTTAAATTTTTTTGTATTCTGTACTTCAATGCTGTAAAATTTCTTTTTTTTTTCAAATGATCTTTACAACCCAGACCAGACAGCAGCCCAGTGCTCTCAAGTCCCAGTTTACTATAACGCAGAAATGAAATGGACGGAAAGCTGAGGAGACTGCCTTTGCTCCTCAGGTGAGCAAACTTCCACTGTGGGAACAATCCAGAACCTCTGACTGTCCCTCACAATGAGAATACTTCCACTAGTAAGTCAATATATTATTCTTAAAAATTAAAGTTTGGTCACTACGAAAGACTGAACAAAAATGATCCTCTCCCACCACAAACAACCCCCCCCAGCTCTCTCTACTCACCCCTCCACTCCCCACACAAACAGAGGAGCAGCAGGAGCTGAAGCCTTTCCATTTCAAGTCTCAGTTCCTAAGACACGGCCGCTGCTTGCTTCAACTGAAGGTCTATGGACTCTATTCTCCGATGCGCCCCATTTATAAGTTTATTTCCATACACACATGCACGCACACACGCACACACTCATTCACTCTCAAGTAAGACACTTTTTTGTGTTTGTTGATAAATTATGAGGAATATGAACTAGGTGTGTACAAGGTTTTATAGGTACTTTGTAAACATCAGAGTCAATTGGGTCCTTTTCTCCAAAAGCCTGAAATCCTGTTATGCAACCAGAAGCCACTACTTTCCCAGACGCTGTTCACAAGCTGCATACTGGCGAAGCGCGGAGAAAAAGTCCTCGTAACTGATGTTCAGGTGAGAAGGCAAAGAGACGATCTCAGTCAATCTGATTTGCCAAGGAAGAAAGCCTAATGTGCTGTCCACAGGACCAAACTTCAACACTAAATCAGGATCAGGGAAACCATATGAACTAAGTAAGCTGTCTAGCAGATCTACATCCAAATCTGTGGGTCTTCTCTGCTGCTGAGCTACTAACTGGCAAAAGTCCTGGGCAGCTCGCACAATGTCTGCTTTGCCATCTTCTGGGGACAGCTCCTTCACAGCTGAAGGGCAATTTAAAACTTGATCGTCTTTGTTGTTACTATTTGCAAACTCTGGTGAGTATTTGGAACAACCTAGGCCCAAAAGTTCCTGCTGTTGTTTTAAAATTTCATCCATCAATCTGGAATTATTTCTCTTGAAAATACCTTGGTGGTCGTAGACGCTAATGTAGGAGATCCCCACGGCCATACACCACACCACGAGGCTCGCGATGTCCGAGAAGCTGGGCTCCTGCTCCACCTCGGTGATCACCAGGCCCATGTGCACTGGCAGCTTCTGCAGGGAGCGGCCGTCCGCGCGCCAGCGCAGCCAGGGATGGGTGGCGGCCGGCCCGGTTCCCCCGTGCGGGTGCCGGTGATGACGCCGCCCATATTTTTCAATCAGCCTAAATATTCTCTTTCTATTGCTGTGTTATCACAACGCTGGTCCACGAAGTGTGTGGAAAATGGCAGTTATGACTTGTGTCCAGGGCATCCTCAAGTGTCTCAATCCCCGGACAGTAGGCTTCTGATGCTCTACTGCAGCCCCGAGGATACAGATGATGCTCTGCTACAGTCCCGAGGATACAGATGATGCTCTGCTACAGCCCTGGGGATACAGGTGAGCTGAGTCAATGCTACCTTTGTAAAAATTTGACTGAAGTGCCAGCGTTAAACTTATGTTACTAAGCCTAGTTTCAGCTCGCCTTCTTCTGGGGATGGGTGTTAAGATTTACCTCTTTAATAACACCAGGGAAGCAAGAGGACACTATAATAGAGAAGATTCTGTGTGTAGGACTTTTAGACAAAGTTAAATAAAAATTGAGGGTTTGTTCTGTTTTTATATATTTATAGCCTGTGTAGCTCTGGAGGGAGGTTAGGTCCATTTGTAGGACTATATAATACGCAGCGACGTCATAAAGCACCGGAGAGGATGAGAAGAGGGCCCAGTTCAAAGCTGGAGTCAGTGGCAGACTGCTGGTAAGGAGGCTCAGGTGTAGTCTCTCATCTGTCATAAAACATACTGAGTATTAATATTCCTCGCAGTACAAGAGTTTGAAAAGTTCTAACAATGGCACATATATATTTCATGCTCACTCTGTTGCAGGGAATCTGCTTAAGCTTTGATGGAATCTCTGTAACTACTTAATAAGATGGGTAGGGGCGCTATTCAGTTTTACAGAGCAGCTATGACTAATGTTGGGAACTAGACAAATTACTCAGTGGCGTCTTTGAAAGGCAACCCCGTGCAGTGTGAAGAAGAGCCTTCTTGGGATCTAGACAGTGAACGCTGCAGTGGATATCGCATGTCTTATCTTTTGTAGCATCTGTGGACCCGATGGCCCCATGCCAAGCTCAGAGTGGTTGCATCAGGTCACTACCACAAGGAGCTATGCTGGCAAAGTATCATTTGGTGTGGGTTTTAGAGAAGAACATAAAATTTGCAAGCCTTTATACACCTAAAAAACAAACAAACAAACAAGTTGCAACTTATAATAGCAACTGGTTACTTGGGGACTTGGAAGTAGGAAGAATAACGGATGTGCTGATTGTAAGTCGGGGAGCTTTTGACACATAAGGATAACCACTGCCTTCCTCATCCTATAACTGCGATCTGTCCTAGGTGGACAAAGTGAGGTACGTCAGTCAGGTTATGCAGTGCTGTGCTTTGGAAACAAGTAAGTTTCCGAGCTGCATTACTTTGCACCTTTCCCAAGAGCTTTTTCATGTTCATTTAAAGGCTGACACTCCTGATAGCTGTTCTCCATTATCCAGTCATGACCTGGGGCAAGAGACTTCCAATGTAGCAAGGAAAAGAACAATTTTGGTAGTGGAAACCCACTCTTACATCATTCGAATGGGAGCAGAGAATGGGCATACTGTTCCTGCTCGCTCAGGTTCTGAGGCTGGGCCTCCATCACATAAATCCTCACTGAGCTCTGACCATCTGCACCTTACGGAGAATATGGCCTTTTTGTTTCTACTGGAAATTTATCTCCTTCTACCTTTTTTCCTTTTATTCCTTCAGACCAAATTAGGCCTCCTCAGGCAGCTCAGTCTTCACAGGGAGTCTTCTGAGAGTAAGTGATGGGGGTAGGCAGGAACAAAGAACAGACAAGGTAGATCCTCTTGGCCATCATTTCTCACTTACCTACCCCTAGCTTTCCCTCTTTCTTCTTATCAGTCATGTTAGAAAACAGTGAGTCTGTCCTCAGCAGACTTGGGTCTCTACAAATGTAAACTGTAATGGCATTTGTATTTCAGGGTTCATGATGAACACCAATGATGGGGAATGTTCTTCTGTACATATGTTTCTCTTATTGGTTAATGAATTAAACACTGATTGGCTGATTGGCCAGGCAGGAAGTGACACAGCTGGGCAGAATCAGAGTATAAGCAGGGACAAACAGGAAATCGCTCTCTTCTCTTCTCTGTGGACATGCTGAGTCAGTCACCATGTAGGACACGAGAGGAGTAACAGGTCCGGACCCTTTCCCCACTAAGAGAAGACCACGTGGAAATACCAAGATTTATTAGAAATGAGTTAATAATTAAGTCAGAGCTAGGGAATAAGAAACCATAGCCAACAGCCAATAACTTTATAACTAATATAGCATCTGCATGTTTCTTTGGGGCAGAGAAGGGCAGTGGGACATAGTTGGGACAAGAAAGCTCACATTACACACTGAAGACTGATGTGGTAGAGAGACTGTGTAATGCAGAAACACAAGAGAGAGAGAGAGAGAGAGAGAGGGCATCAAGATGAGGCATTCAAGGTGTGAGACCAGAGAGCACAGGTGTCTACGGGTGTAAAGAGGGGAAACCCTCTTTCTCAGGACCAGACCAAGTTCTGCGGTTGGACTCTGTAATCTCCCCAAAGGCCATGTGTGCACAGCTTGCCTGGCAGCCTGTGGATGCTATTGGTGGCTGTTGCAACCATTGCACAGTAGGGTCTACTTGGAGGAAGTGGGTCATAGAAGTAATTGAGAGGTTTCTAGTACCCTCACCCTCCTTCCCCCTCTCTTTGTATACTTCTAGGTGGACATGTTGAGCAGCTTTAAAATTATTGTTATTATTATTATTACTATTATTTCAATCACTCCTACCTGATGTGATTCTCTGCTTCACCACAGGCCCAGAAAACAGTGGACTTGTTACCTTCGAACCTCTGAAGGCATGAGCACAAATGAATATTTCCTTCTCTAAGTGGCTTTTCTCAGGTGTTCTGTCACAGACATGGGAAGCTGGCTAACACGGAAGGCAAGCGAACAGTAAACAAACGTAAGAGGGGATGCAGAAGTTGGAATTCTCACCCCTCCACCTCCAGTACTTCCCCCCACCCCTTTCCTAAACTTTTGACTCTCTCACACCTCGTGATATGAGTTCATTTCTATTCTTTGCAGCCTTTAGTTAACTTCTGCCTTTAGCCCTCTGGTCCCAGCATGGAGTGGAGGTATAGAATATCCCTAATTTGTGTCTGTGGCTGCAGGAGGTATGTCAATGTAGGTGGCACCCCAAATTGGTGTTAGTTTATAATTCTGTGTTTTCATAGAAACATAATAGAGTTGGAAAATACTGGGCTTCTATGTGCTCAGTACATGTCCGGCGCTTCATGTGTAAATACAACTGTTTAATCCTCTTCTAATGTTATTTACATGGAAGGGGTGTCACAAGGCAAGATTAAATGTCAGATTAGCCGCTGACCTAAATGGTCGCTGAGACTCCAGCCCAGAGCTCTTATGATCCTGTTGGAATATTTGCTCTACATTTTAGACAGATGACTCCAAAATGACAAGTTTAAGCAAGGAATTTCCTGAGTTGTGGCAGACACTGACTCCTTTCATCTCTCTTCATTCTGAAAATTTTGCTTCTATTTAATTCTATCATCTTCCCCACTCTTTCTGTATATTAACATAGGAGTCTCCCCCAATATCACATGGCTGGCTTCTTCCATTACAAGTAGCTAATGAGTCTTCATTCCTTATTTCATGAGGCTAAATAAATATAGATAACTCCAACAGGGCAGAATGAACTTCTCAGTGGTTGACAAGGGAATGTTTTATTAATTTGCTTTTAAATCATTGCAATCATGTCCGTTTGAATGTCTGATTCTTTTCTCCCAATAAAATGAGAAATGGTTGTTAAGTTTTTTTTCATGTCTCCTGTAAATAAACTGCAGCATCCTAATGGATGTACAGCCAGAATTAATCTCAGACAGAAATCACCAGAGACATACAAAGAAGATTATGCAAGTTTCCCACAGCATTTTGTCAAGAAGTACATTTTCATGAAGACAGCTTACATTTACATTCAATTGCTTTTGTGCTCTCTGCCACACATTTTCATTCTTAAAAATGAGAGGGAGAGAAAGAGAAAGAAATAAACAAAGCCTACTTGTATGCCACTTGGGAAAAATAGTATCAGGTAGTATCAGGCTTGTGGAAGCCATTGGAGTCACCTGCTGCTTCCTCCTAGCCACATAAGAATTCATCTTGCAATTTCATCCACTCAAGGGCATGAGCTTCCGAGTCTCTCCTTAGTAACTGATTTTGCTATCTGACAACACTTTCTGTCATGACGTTTTCTCTTACCAACAGTGGAACTGAGCCACCTCTTGTCTTTGTTTCCAAACCTCGAGGACCCAGCTGAATAATTGGTTTTATTTCTCCGTAATATCATCAGCGTTTTACAAAACTCATCAAACTAAGGATGCCTTTTGTTCTTTTTGCTTGCAGTCATTGTCTTTAAAAGGACTCTCTCTCTTGCTTCATCAGATTTTTTTTGATCAGGGCCAAATTTATTATTCCGCATATTTAGAAAAAATATATTTTTTTGCAAAGAGATGAATGCAAAATAACATGCATTTAAAAGCCAGGGTCTTTGCGGGAATTTCTAGGGAGTGGGCTGAGGAAAGAGACCATTCATGGAGAATATTAATGGCTGTGATTACAAAGAGGTGAGTAGCTGATCTAGGGCACAAGCAAATAAAGAGGAAAAGAGCTAACTGAGCGATCACATGTGTCTCAAGATTAATGGTGCGTATGTTAGAAGTGGATTTTGCTTGAAAACGAAAGCCACTTTGACTCTGAGCAAAGAGAAGTGAGTGGAGGGATAAAAAGCCATACTACCTACAGCCCGTGGATTAATCACCTAGCTCCTCGATGATCTCAAGGAGATTCAGGTGCAAGTGGGCTCCCAAGAATCCTGGTAATGAGCTGAATTTATGGTACTGTGTGAGGGTAGGACAGTTATTAGTCAGTAACAGGGATGGTGGGCCAATGACCTGATTGCTGGCCTATAATCAATCAGAGGTTGACTCCTGTGTACAGTTCTCCTGGGAGATTATTAGAAGCAATACATTGCTAAGGTCAGCCATTGGCTCATTGGGGGCCCATTAGTGGCTCACAGGGGGCAGGTATTCTATTCCTGCACATAGAGAAATCCTGTTTCCTGGAAAAGCAAAGAGAAATGACTGAAAGATCTATGCCTTTTTCTTGTAGTCTAAACCCAATACATCTCTGAAGCATATCTTGTTTAATTTAAAATAACTGGAGAGAAACTAATAGATGGTAAGGAATTCATTTATCAAATGTGTTTGACGATAATGTGTATCATACATAGGCTCATACTCATGTAGTAAGTATATTTTCAAAGAGGCTCAGAACATGGAGAACTCTGACTTAGATGCTAGGTGTAGGTGTGCACAGATCATTTGCCAACATAGTAAGTAATACTTAAAATGTGATTATTTTTTCCTCCCTGGCCCAGCAGCCTCGGCATTTAATACATTTTACTACCTTATACTTGTGAGTTTGTGGTTGTGTTTTCATGTAAAGTTTCTTGTCATAGTTAGGGTAGAATCTAATTGATGTGAGGAGACACCATGACAACAGAACCTTTAATAAAGGAAAACATCTAACATCTTAACATCACAGGTTAAGTCCGTTGTCATCACGGCAGGAAGCATGGTACTGGAGAGGAGCTGAGAGGTCTACATCCAGATCAGCAGGCAGCAGGAACCGAGAAGTGACACTGGGCCTGGCTTGAGCATTTGAAGCTTCAAAGCCTACCCTCAGTGATGTACTTCTTCCAACAAAGCCACACCTACTTCAGGATGGCCACACCTCTTAGTAGGCCACTCCTATGAGCCTATGGGAAGCTATTTTCATTCAAACCACCACAATTCTGTATGCAGTAGGAGGATAGCTGAAGGATAACTTCGTTTTATGGAAATATTCATTTTACTTTTAGTTATGTGTATGTAGTGTGTGTGTGTGTGTGTGTGTGTGTGTGTGTGTTTGTGTATGAGACTGTGCCTGAGGAGGCCAGGAGAGCAAGTCAGATCTCCTGGGGCTGGAGTCAAAGGTGGCTGGGAGCTACTGGGAATGGAGGCAGGGAAAGGAACTCAGGTCTCTGCAACAGCAGCAAGCACTCTTGAATTCTGAGCCATCTATTTTTGAATAATGTAAAGAGAGTGGCGGAGCTTATATAAAGATGCTTAGCACTAGGTTACGCTTGTAACTGTTGTTTTCTTTGCATGAAGTAAGTCATTTTGTTTCATTGTGCTCAGTTGAAGTAGCCTGGGCACTTTTAGTGTTGGAGTTCCCATAGCTTCTATTCACATTACAATGTAGCAAATCTATAATATGGGGTTCAAGTTGCTTTCACCAGCTTGGCATCCTGGCTCAGGTGTTGTTGGGAGAACTGATCTGCCAGTGAGAGCACTCAGTGTTCTGCTGTGTGTGTTCCCTCTCACTAGCAGAGGCAG